TCGTAGAAAAGCTCAATCGGCACAAGCTTGGCACCATTAGCAAAAGCTGCCCACAGGAACTCTAACATGCTCTCAAATTTTCCTGCAGCATTTTAGAATTTTGACGATTTATTTTGGAGAGTCGGGATTTTGAGTAGGTTTCCTTTTCTAACTTTTATCTCTGGGGTCATCTGTCGTTTGAAGGCTACAAAGAAGCTATTAGAAACTAAATGAATTTTTCTATCCAATCGTGTTGTTTGTTAGCCAACATATTCACTTAGGGAGCAGTTAGAAATTTTTCAAAATACTTTCGGAACAATCTAATAGGTTGGTTCGAAGTTCTGTCTAATATTCAAAAAATAATTGTGACTCTGCGCATTCTTAACCGATTTTGCTTGCACCTAACTTTCTTAGGAAGAATAAGTTATTCGCTTTCTAATACTTTCTTGCAGAGCCAGAGATAGAAAGGGAAAAATAAGACTCTGTAAGCTTCAATCATTTTAAGTTAGGTCACCAATAATCCGGAATGTTGCAGAAAATTCGAAATCGTCAGTATAGAGGTATTATGACATGCCTTTTGTAACTGAGAAGAAATTGTGCTCTTTGGACGTTTCTTTGAAAAGTCCAACAGAATTTCGGACCGACCTAATAACATATTGTGCTGAGAGTACGCATTACCGATGTTCAATAGTTCGCGATTTTCAGATAAATAAAGATAAATTGCTAAATTTCACTTTGTCGTAAAAACAAAAGAAGTGTAACAAATTTTCATAGTTTCTTTTGTTCATTTTGAAGCGTTTGTTAGGCTGCGAGAACATGGTGGGATACACTGCAGAGCGAGATGAACGGACTGGGAAATTCAGTAATACTCTCATTAACGCATGACGAGGCAATTTTCCAGTTTTTCCAGGTAATGTTTTATTTTTAAATTCAGTTAGCTAATGCCTCACTCAGATGGCTTGGGCAGACGTACGTGAAATTGGATGTGCAATTGTTAAGTGTGACGACATGATAAATCTTGTCTGCAGATATTACCCAGCGTAAGTTGTAGAACCACGCAGTTTCCACTTGCTCTTTGTGAGAGCTATAATTTCTCAGTGGCATCGAATTTCATCAACAAGTGTATGACCCGAGAGAACCATGCGAATCATGTCCTTGGGGAACAAGATGTGAAGTAGAAACGGGACTTTGTGAGCAGCCGGAAGACAGCGCCAAAGGACTGTATATTCCATCGATTCTATTATTAATCTTAACTTTGTTATTGTAATTACATACTTGTCCAATCTTCAACGTGTTTTTCTCAATTTGCGCCAAGTTAGCTTGAAAGAGCACTGATTTTTTCTGTTAATGCCAATATTTTTGCAATATCTCGAACCACCAATTCTGTATTTATGCCAGTCACTGTCTGACTCTAACTGAAAATCAAGCTCACTCTTTTATCCTTGTATTACAAACTTTCTTTGATCAAGAA